CTAACAAATATGGCAAATACTGGATGCTGCTGTTTAGAAATGACTGCTAATGATTATATTGGCTTTATTCTGTCTAGAATGTCTTCCAGAAAAGAAATTAGCATAAAAGCTCACTATATTACTGATTATCAATACAGCTTAAACGGATTCTTATGATGGTAAGTGTAACTCTCAGAAAAATACCTTTTTGAAAGTTGTCCTCCAAAGCTTTATGTTTGAAAAGTTTTAAAGATAGAATGAAAAAAAAAGGAACATTACATTTGCTTTTCTAATAACATTGTTTTGGCCCAGCAACATTGAGCCTTGTCGGTACCTACATGGGTGACTGCTTGAGAATACCAGGTGCTGTAAGCATGGATATGCAGGTGGTGCAATGTATAATGGCTTGGAATTGTTAAACAGAGAGCAGAGTTCCAACATTGAAGTTCTCACCAGTGAAAATTATTTGCCAATTATATTATTGGCCTCTAACCAAGCACATGGCACTTCAAGGAAATTTCTCTCAACAATCTGAGAAAACAAAGAATTTCAAACTATCTCTTGTCTGCTTTTGAAAGTATGCAAACCATATATCCCTTCTGTGAGCAATGAACTCTCTTACCTTTGTTTTAAACCTTTTTTAATATTATTTTGAGTCAGATGATTTAATCTGTTGTATGAACATTTCCTCTTTATGATAATATGTTAAAACTATGGATTTTAAGAATTCTGATTTACTTTTCCTGAAACGAGTTAATACCACTACCTCAAGTATGGAAATTCATGAGTAAATTCTTTATCTTTTTAAAATTACCTCATATTTATTATCTTGGCATGGATAAATCAGCTGTTCATTTTAACCTCTAAGACTCATCCCACTATATGTTCTTATGCAATTGTTATATCTCAGTTTTGGTTTAGTGTTAGTCTTTTTCCATTGGTAAACTCACTGTACAAAAACTGCTTAGGAATCTAATCATCCTTCATTGTGACCACATGGAAATGCTATCATAACTGGTGATGTATTACCAAAGACTTTTTGCTGTTAAATTTTGTACAAGAATATCAATGCCAATTACATACATTTGCTACCGGATACCCAAAATATGGTGGAGACAATGTTGGTGAAATTGCTTCAACATTTTCATGTGACTTTGATAAGTTACCCAGGTATCACATGCCTACAATGATGAAAACGAAACACACATATTATAAACCACTGACAGTTGCTTGGATTGTAGGTGCCTCTCCAGCTTTCAAAATTCATTCCTGGCCTTCTTGATTTGGAGGGAAATTTCATCATAAAGAATATTTGTCATCTTTATAGTACTACCTAAATATACGAATTTTTGCAATCTTAAATTTCTGTTTATCTCTACAAATGCTTGGCTCAGGATAGACTTTTTTTCGGGATCAGATTAGTACATTATGGGGGGCATGTTCAGAAATATCTATACAGTCAAACCGTTTTCTCAGATTAATAGTTAAAATGGCTTTGAGTGATTAAGGCTATGGATATTGGTGAAGACCACACTTCTTTGAAACTTATGGACTAGTGCTGCAGAATCACAAAGCAAGAACTGTACCAAATAACAGAAACCACATCACTTGAGGGCTTCCAACAGCAGCAACCACTAAAATGGACGTCATATGTCACACATAAAAAAATGAAAGATGTTGATATTCTACACTAGTCTAAACAAAAGGTTAAGAAGGAAAGAGCAATAACAGCGGGCTTGAGTAGAAACTTATTTTCCTGAAAAATTGTTTGAACACAAAGATTATATAAATTTCAATAAAATTTTTTTCTTATAATGAATGGTTAACATTACCATTATAATTAGTAACAAGAATAATGTGAAGACTAACAACACGGTAAAAAAATTGTTATATACCATACCTATGAACACTAATGGGTATGTCCCAATCCTCATAAATATGTTGGACACTATTGTAAGTGGCGGGAGTAATATACTGTCTAAGTAGTCCACCACTAGCAGCAGTTTACCTACTTCATGCTGCTGGCAAGTATTGTATATTGTTGATGTTATAAATATTACCATTTAATTTCCAACCTCTGTTTAGGTTATTCCTCATTCAGTAACCATTTCTAGGTTACAACATATGTGTGTGTATATATATATATATATATATATATATATATATATATAAATGCAATAATTGTGTTTTTACATAACACCACCAGAATAAGAACCATCATTCTTTGAATCTCATAAATTGGTGCTACGGAATCATAAACAAAGAACTGTATCAAATAAAAAAATGCCAGAACACTTGAGGACTACCAATAGCTTCAACAACTAAAATGAGTAGCAGAGGTAACTCGAAGGAAAAATGATGACAATCAAGATGTTGACATTCCACACTACTTCAAATAAAATTGTAGGAAAGAAGCCTCCATTAATACTGGAAAGATCAATAACAGCTACTGGAGTTGAGTAACTTATTTTCCTGAAAAATTATTTTAAGCGAAAGATTTTATAAGTTTCAAATGAAATTAGTCCAAGCTGCTCAGTCAATGGATGCTGAATATATCCTTATAAGAAAACAGTTAATATTAGAATTTTTAAGGTAAATGTTAGAACCAATATGCTGCATGGCATCCAGAAGGAAGTCCCAAGATATTACATGTCACTCTACATACACATATGCTGTGAAAAGAAATTAGATACAGCTTTAGCATCCCTTGTCTCTCCTCATTTTCTGACCACTTATTTCTTTCTAGACTTTCTGTTATCTACATCTTCTAATGCTGTAAACCTGTCTGTTGATTTTATTTGTTCCATTTGAGTCTGTTTCATAATTTTGCATGTTGGGACTCTTAGAATGTTAATTCTTGCACTCAAGTGCAAAGGATTATATGAAGAAAAATCGAAATATAAACAAAATCACCCAAAGACTCTTATTAGGCAAATATTGATTTCTTAAAAGCATGTTTTGTTTTTTTTTTCAGATTTATCTTATTGCTTTGTCTTAAAATAGTTTGGCCATGATTTATTGCATATAAAATATATCATTTTAGTATAGTTGTCCAGAAAGTGCCTTTGATTTAAATCGATTTGTTTTGCAGGTCTTTCTCTTATGTACAGATATGTACATCATACTTATAAAATGAAAATATTTTTATTAGATTATCCATGCTTTTATTATAATCTAAAATTTATTCACCTTTTCTTATTTATATGGATTCAACACTAACACAGATGTTTCAAACATTCAGTAATTCTCTAAGAGAACATAATAATATATACAAGTGTCACTACACTCATTTCCCAAAAATATATTTAATCTACAGTCCTCCTCTCTTCTCTTTCTGCACATCATTATTATTTCTGTCCCTAATTTTTACACACCATGTAACCCATTGTGTTTTAGTGGCATTATTGCCTTGTTTGGGGTGATTATATATATATATATATATATATATATATATATATATAAAAAGAAAGAACAGTAAGATATATAATCTGGTGTTCTTATAGATATTTTTATTTTTACAAAATAGTGCTCAATGTAAATTTACAGAGCATTAATATTATAAATTAACTGATTTAAAATGTTTTTTCACTACACAGTTCTAACCATTTTTCAAAAATGGAAATTAAAAGCTTTGAATTTAATTTTGTAATTAAATTAAAGACATTAGTTCCATTCGCTTGAGGATGAAATGGAACTAATGTCTTTAATTTAATTACAAAATTAAATTTGAAGCTTTTAACTTCCATTTTGAAACTTGGTTAGAACTTAGAAAAAAACTATATTTTAAATCGAAAAATATATATATATATAAATATATATATATATATATATATATATATATATATATTATTGGAATCACCCCAAACAAGACAATAATGCCACTAAAACACAATGGGTTACATGGTGTGTAAAAATTAGGGACAGAAATAATAATGATGTGCAGAAATATATATATATATATATTGCTTGTGGAATGAGTGGGGTATTCAACTGGATACAAAAATTTGGGTTTACAAAGCTGTTGTTCTTGCCAACCTTTTGTACGGCTCAGAGTCGTGGACTTCATACAGGTACCATATACCCCAGCTGGATGTTTTCCATAAAAGCTGACTGCGTGCAATCTGTGGCGTTAACCATCAAGATAGGACATCTAATGTAGACCTGTTTAACAGGTGTAATATTGGAGAAATTGAGACTTTTCTCATATAGCCTCAGTTACGATGAACTGTTCATGTCTTGAGAATGTCTGATGATATGATACCCAAGATCTTAATGCATGGCCAGTTAGATCAGGGCTACAGGAATGTACGACGCCCATGGCTAAGATACAAAGACATGTTGAAAAGCAACTTGTCAGCTGTCAATATACCCCATAACACTCTTGAGCACTCAGCCTTGGAGTAGGTAGAATGGAGATCAATGTGTTTAGATGGACTCAGCAGTTTTCAATCTGCTTGTCTGAATCATCTTTAAGAAGTGAGAGCAATATCTTAAAGGTCAACCAATGTAACAGTGATCTCATTCCACAAACCTCACTCTTGCTCCATATGTGGCCTCTTTTGTAAATCACTAGCAGGTCTTAAGTGTCACTTAAGATTATTGCACAAAATTTCATAACTGATTCACTTAAGCTGTCAGATCTTCATATGTCGAAACCGACAGGAGAGTTCATTATATATATATATATATATATATATATATATATACACCTAACTTACAAGACTAATTATGGGCTCATTAAACATTCTCTTGATATGTGAAAATTCTATACAATTCAATAGTAATGAATAAAGCTGATGACCAAATATTGAAAATATTTTTAGGTTATTTAAAGCTGAAACATATTTTTGGATTGTAAGAATTTTTAGGAGATAATAATTTTCTCATACACGTCTTACTGTTTAACCCATAGCTGGGAGGAGAAGAGGTAAGTTAATATTACAAACCCAAATAGAATTGGAACTCTACTCTCTGGTTAACAAATCTGAGCCAATATCCATTACACCACCCGCACATCCAAGCTTACAGCACCTGGTATGCGCAAGCGGTCACCCATCTAGGTACTGACCAAGCTTGACATTGCTTAATTTTGGTGGTTGTACAGGAACCAGTGTTTCAATATGATATGACCATATTTTTAATTTGCAATGGTCCAGCTTCTAAACATATATAACTATTATGTTTTTAGAAACTTTATACTCTTAAAGTCACACTTTAGAATTGAATCAAGCATTTCCCTGTTAAATATTCACTTTTTTCTACTGTAATGTTCTGATTCGTTTCAACGTTGCTTACTTTAAAAGATCATACAAGAACTGGTGTTTTAATGTGATGTGGCTATAAGCCTGAAGGATGTGGAGGTAAAATAAGAACTAATTTGAAGAGATCAAGATTGAACTGTTCAAGAAATCAATCATGCAGAAGCCTGTTTTACTCAGAAACAGCTGTCTGAGTCGATCTTTAATTTTTACATGTAGAACATGGGGGAAATAAGGATAATTTGAATCAATGGATATGGCATGGCAGGTCCTCGCTGTAAAGGTCTGAATTAGCAGAACTCAAAAATAGAGCATTTGCAATGAAAATAGGGGTGCAGAAGTGACAATCTTATAATGTTGCTTATGTGAGAAAGAGCTTATAGTGTGGAAAATAAAACTGCATAAATAATTTTGAGCTTTATCAAGTCTGGACAGTGATGATTGGGTACCTTCAGCTCAGATATTTATGCAATTTTTGGGTAGAATTTGACTTATAAAACTAAAGCCTTCAGATATGCATTGCATTTCTAAAGACACGTTGAAATTTTGAAAGATGCCTTCCAAAAACTCAGGAAAGTATTAAAAAGAAAGAAAATAATACTGTACTCTTACATAATATCAGTACTACTAAATGGCAATGATTATTGGACAATCTCCTCAAAGATGAAGAAGAGACTTGAAGCTACAGAAGGATGCTGAGAATACCATGGACTGAACATTTAAGCAATGAAAAAGTTTTAGAGAACATAGAAAGAAAATAAACAATTATACTTACAGAAAGAGTTGAAATTTCCAAGGCACATAATGAGGAAAGAGGGCTTGGAAAATTTTATACTCACAGGACAGACTGATGGCAAGTGGTTGCAGAGAAAAACTATGTATAACCTACCTAACAAACATGAGTGAATGGATGGTGGAGCAGGGTTTAGGAGAGATGGCCAAAAGACAAAATTTATTAAGAGCTACAAAGGACAGGAAATTGTGGTCAGTCATTCTGGCCTTGCTATCTATTAACCAATGTGAAATAGTTCTCTAATCTGTGTAAGCGTTTATGCTGAATAAAATGCTTATCTGCAGGATGAACCAGGAGCAGACTTCATCTTCTCTCTAATAACTCATACAAAATTAACTCTTGTCTAAAACTTTGAGATATTAGTTGTCATTAATATTAAATTAATCTTTTTTTTATTGATAAAGACTTTACTGATGATTTGGCTCTTGTGGTATTATCAAAAATTTCCATAAGCAAATTAATCATAGAAAATTGAAATTGATACTATGTGAGAGACAGTGAATGAAAAACAAAATCCCACAGAGCTTCAGAGCAAAAATCAAACTTACAAAAAGATAAAATTCAGATGTACTCTTCATTTCAATTCTGACATTTCACAATGAAATGCTCTTAAGTAAAATATATACTACTACTACTACTACTAATAATAAAAAATCCTGTTGACACACCTGTGGAGCTTGATGTTGCTGCAATAGTTTCATACAATATGCTGCAATTGTGTTGAGAATTAAATTACCATACCTCATCAAGTATATAAACATGAAAGAAAGTTTTATAAACTGAATTATTAAATTCCCAGTTGACATTTTAGAGATTCTATTCACTTTTTCTATGACATGATTTGTGCTATGATTCTTTTTAATAATCTCAATTTCTTTTTATTGATTGATTTGTTTTCTACAGCTTATCAATCCTTTGCAGGTTATTTAAAGCCAGGAATTTTTTTAAATGTGAGAATATTTTTTTGGAGATAATAATGATTTATTTAATAAAAGTCCTACTAATTAACCCATAGCTGGGGGAAAAAGAAGTGCATCCATACCTTTCCCAAGAGTATTTGCACATTAGTGAATATAACAAAATCAACTGGAATTGACACTTTGCTCTCTGATTTCCAAATCCAAGCCATTATCCATTAAACCATCCACACATCCAAGATTAGAGCACCTGGTATTCTCAATTTCTTTTCATAAAGAAGCTTAAATTATTTACATCAGTATTGCTGGCATAATTGTAAAGAGTAATTTTCATTAAAACTTCCTCATTGCTTTCATGCTCCGTCCATGATACTGGCTACCTAGTTAATCCCAGTTGCAGATATCTGTTTAGATACATCTTTGACACCCACAGTACTAATTTGTGAAATATACTGCGACTATGCTGAGTAGACTTTAATTTCAGTCTCTGGAAGAGAGTCCACAATCTGGCATTTTCAGAAGTTCAACAAGTCCAGTACATTCTCACCCTTGGTTATTATGACTTTATTTGGTTTGATTTGTTTTGTTTTATGGCATATCAACACCTCATTTAATGCCAACAAGATTTTTATTGCTGGTAATATTTTTTTCCAAAAATGTATTGTTGGTATTATTTTTTTCCAAAATGTATTGCTGGTAATATTTTATTTTCAAAAATGTATTGCTGGTATTAAAAACCTATTTTGATATTTTCATAGTGTTTTGACACTCTTTGCAGGGTTATCTATTTGCCTATAGCTTGGATCCTGAAAGGTGCTACCACCCCAGGTCAGGGTGGACCTGCGAACACCAGCAATTGAGGTGGTTCTATGCTCCTCAAAACCTCCTAATTAAAGGCCATGCTGTCAGATGTAGTTTATCGTCTATGTAGTTTTGGTGTGACTTTATACTGTACTGTACTGTACTGATGCGGCATTCACCCTGGGCGGATTGAGAAGAAGATTCTTGGGATAAATACAGAAGTAGGGTACCCAGGCCTACTCGAATAACGTTCTTGCTTGCCGCGGGGTTCCCACAGACGCAGAGACAGGAACAACCAGAAGCCGCTGGTTACCGATGCAGACGCTCCTTGGATTTTCACCAGAGCCCTTGTTAGCCGGCGTGTGTGTCAGACCTGTCCGCCTTGGGTGGCCCTACCAGGAACGGGCGGCATAGCTCTGACACTACCGTTTACACCCCCCAACTTTATGCTAGCACAGCAATTGATGGAATCCAAATAGTTTTGTCTGCTCACTTTTACTCATGAGGTTTTGATCATAACATTGTATGATTTTCAGGCACTCTGTGCCACATACTGAAATCAGAAAGTAACATCCCTAACCAATCAACCATAGCGAGATTTGAATTTGGGTCTCATTGTTAGAATGCTAATATTTTAACTACTTGGCCAAATGCCCACATACCCACTATGTTTGCCTCTTCTATATTTTTATGGTAATTGTTCTGATAAGTTTTCCTCTTTGGTACGTCAACTTTATGAATAAGTGTAGGACGACAAGATGGTCTGAAAGTCTTGTCACCCTCTACCAAAAAGTAATGCGAACAAGTAACACAGTAATACAAAGCACATGTACTGGATTCAGCTTATTCACTTCATTGACGCTTTCACACATTAAGAAGGTCTGTATGAACACCTTCGTTTTTGTGTTAGCCATCTGAAATAGAAAATAGGGGTGACAATACTTTCTGACCACCCTGTAGATAAATAGGTCTCATAATTTCACTGATTAAATTGCTAGTTACAACTATAAGTTCAATCCTAATAGATTGTCCTCTCACACTCATAACTTGCGGAACTCACTTTTTTGTCAGCTGTGATCTTTAAAAATTAAAGGCAATAACAATCATCTTCTGTTTCCTTGTACCCTGTTCTTTTATTATCTTCTCTGTTACTTTCCCTCTCGGTAACTTCTCGCATTGTAGTGACTTTTACTGCCTTGCTTGGATTGAAATGATTAATAAAAATAAATTAATTAGTTAGTCTTATGATTATAATCTCACCTTTTATCAGCAAGTGGAAATGATTAATTTGTTTATATTTACCATTTAACAGCTCTGCAATTATTCAGTATCTTTAAACAGAACAGTGATTATATATGGGAGAGAAATGTATTGATTTTTGAAAAAAGTTGCATGAAAGGAAATAAAAAAAAAATAAACATATTTTCCTTCTTATATTTTTTTTATAAAGAAACTCAAAATGTCTGCTCTATTTTCCTCCAGGGATTTTCAATATCCACCAAATCAACAACTACAATAAATTAAGTGCTCTTCTTTTATTTATTGGGAACATTTTCTTACAATTAAAGTGTCTTTGAAAAGACTAGCTTAAAGAGCAAACAACAAGCTGAAAAACATGTGCATAATCATTGAAAATTATTGTTGTTGCCTCTAGTCTGCATTTCTTCACTGATCTGGATTATAATAGTGATTTGGTGTCCACTCAATGTTAAACATTTTCTACAAGGCAAACGGTAATAATGAGTTATCTCTTCTTTGTTTTGCCTCTGGCTACTTGTCTTTCTCAGAGATTAATATCTACTGTTGCAATAATTTTTGCATTTCTTTGGGTTTTTTTCAAGAATACCAACAGAATAAAGTTAAAAATTGCTCCAAACATTTTTATAATAAGCACTAATAATAATAATCATAATATCTGAAGTCTTTGGTTTCAGCTATAATGCAATTTGTTACAACGCATTCAATTATGACAGCAGCTCTGTATTCTGAAAAAGAGAGATGTTGTTTCGACTTCAGAATGACTATATCCTCCTGTTATCAGTTGAAACTGGCACCTTCTATTTTTTATATATTTCGATTCTTTTTTCTTGAAATTTGTATTTTACAGATTTACAACATAAATTTTCTGAAATATTCCAAAACATTTTCACTTTCCATAACTATATTTTATAATTATAGCTTAGATATATGGAATAAAAAAAGTATCAGTTTAAACTGATGCTAGAAGCAGGGTGGGCTGAGATGGCACTTTCATAGTGTGTGTGTGTGGGGGGGGCACTTTTGTGTCTGCTGTAGGCTATAAGCCTGTATAGACTGTATTGAAATAAAAGTGATTTTAATGTTGGGACAGTACTGACAGTTTAT